CTATTTAAGATATCAAAGCAAACCTGGCCTCCAGGTTCTCCCAGTCTCCCCCCAGCCCCTACCTGTCCCAGGTATGGCTGGCTGGCTGACAAACCTCTATCCTGAGCATCTCCAGTCCAGGGACTGGGATGTCCTCCCCCCTATTGTCCTTCCCTATTCCTGTTACCGCTCCTTTCTGGTGTACCCTTGACCTTGGTCAGTGTGTGAGAGCCCAAGTTACACTTTAAGTCTTAATTACGATGCCTAAAAGATCCACGAAACAAAAATAACAGACTTGGGCTGAGGTGTGTTTACTCTTGACCCTCCAGGCCAGATAATGAATGGGAAATTGAGTCCCAGGTGTGGTTACCAAATGCTGGGAGGATTATGGGAAGAAAGTTTGTTCCTCATTCATGATAAAGAAGTCCTCTGCCATGTCCCCCTTTTCTCTGGGGTACTTAACAAAAATGTTGAAGAATAAAACTTGGGGTGTTCAGTATTCACTGGATTGCCCTCCTGACTCTACCCTGTGTCTCTGTCTCTTAGCATCTTTACCTGCTGTCTCTTAATCCTCATTTCCCCTCTGAGGTACGAACAGAGTAAATCGGCTGGATCCGTCCAAAGGCCCACGAGGATGGGTGACGTCAGCAGTTCACACAGGTAAACCAGCCACTCAGTGAAGTAAGCCAGATGCAGGGAAACAAATCCTGTGTGTTTTCTCTCATATCCCTAGCCAGAAATCTTAAAAAGGGAAGAGACAGAAGCAAAGAGAAGCAGCTTGGGAAAAGGAAGGGGACCTTCAAGAGAGGGGAGCGAGTAAGAGGGAGAAGAAGGCCTTAATGTGAGCAAAGTGTGTTAGATACAGGTTTGGAACCACCATAATGAAGCCAATTTCTTTGTACAACATGCTTAAGAGAACAAAGCTTGGGGCTGGCAAGAGGGCTCAAGGGTTAAGAGCACTGGCTGCTCTTCTAGAGGACCTGGGTCAATTCCCAGCACCCACATGGCAGCTCACAACCATCTCCAGTTCTGGAGGATCCGATGCCGCTCTTCTGGTCTCCTTGGGCAGCTGGCATGCTGGTGGTACACAGACATACCTTCAGGCAAAACAACTTTACACATAAAATAAAAATGTTTACTTAAAAAGGAAGGAAGGGAGGGAGGAAGGAAGGCACACGAGCACACACACGCACATGCACACACACACCACGCACACAGGCTTGTGTCCGCCATAACCATCTCTGTGGGTGAGAGACAAGCCTCGGAGAAGTACTGTGGGGACAGGGACTTCCTGAGATGAGAGACTGCTAAGAACACATTTGAAAAGTCGGCCGGTCTCTGCCCCACTTAACAACGGGGACACATTCTGAGAAACACAGTTAGTGGATTTCAGGGGCCTATGCACAGCACAGATGTCTAGGTCAATCTCTTCATGTGGCCTTTTGAGGCAATAAAGACACAGCTACCAGCTTGATGCTGCAAGCTTGCAATCCCAGCACCTGGGAGGCAGAGGCAGGATGGTGATGAATTTGGTGCCAGTCTGGGCTATATAGAAAGATCCTGTCTCAAAGCAAAATAAGGGGCCTGTGGGATGGCTGTCAGCAGATGCAGGTGCTTGCAATCAGGCCTTGGCCGCTGGGTCCAATCCCCAGGAACCCACATGTGGAAGAGAGTTCACTCCCACCAGCATGTGCCTCTATGAACACACCCACACCAACTCCACCAGAGCAAGTAAGTAAACAGATGCAACTTAGATAATTAAAATAAAAAATAGACAAGCTGCAACTGCATGGTGCACAGGGGTTGCGTCATGAGCATACTACTTTACAGGAAGATTTTTACCCCTGGATGTGCTCTCTTGGAGCCTGTGGCCCACCCCTCGGAAGGTGGAAGTGTGGGAAATCAGAAGACACAATGTCATTCTTGACTACATGCTGAGTTTGAGGCCAGCCTGGGCATACACAAGACCCTGACTCAAAAGTAAGACAAACTAGAATTCTTTCACTTTAGCTTTAAAATACTTATTGACTTATTTATTTGGGTGGGCAAGGGTCTGCCTGAGGAGGACAAAGGACAACACAGAAGCCCTTAGTTTCACCATGTGGGCTCCAGTAATCAACTCCGATCTTCAGGCAGAAAGATACCAGGTTGTCAACTTCTGCCTTCCATGTGCACAGGTGTGGGCACACACACACAAGTATGCGAAAAAAGACCTCACCCACACTCTCCACACACACACACACACACCACACCACATACAGACACTACACACACACCACACACACACTGCACACACACATTACACACACACACCACACACCTTACACACACACACACACACACCACATACAGACACTACACACACACCACACACACTGCACACACGCATTACACACACACCACACACCTTACACACACAACACACGCACACACTACACACACCACACACACATACACGTACACTACACACACAACACACATACTCATGCTCACATACGCACACACACATGCACACGCGTGCACACGCTTACTGTGGCTACACTTACATGCATCGTTTTGACTTATGACTTGACATTCCAGTTCTATCAAGTTACAGAATTTCTCCATCACCCTGTAATGTCCCAGAGGCATTTCCCTCATCTATGTCTCCATTTAAGCTATTCCCAGCTCATAGCAACCACTGACTGCTTTCTGTCAATGGGTACCCTGTGAAGGCAAAGGATAGTTAGTTGAAATAAGAGCTCCTCAGAGCTCATGAGCAACCAGAGCAGAGAGCGAGGCCGCAGGGAGCGGGGTCCCCCACAGCCCTGTGAGGGTGAGGACATCTGTGCTCTGGTTAACTTTCAAAGAATAAGCAAGACTTATATTCTTTGCTTATTTTGCTGTGCTGAGGATCGGATTTAGGGTCTGGTACTTGCTAAGCAAGCGATCCACTGCAAGGCTACATTCCTAGCCCTTTTACTTTTATTTGGAGACAGGCTCTTGCTCTGTGTAGCCCAGGCTAGCCTTGAACTTGGGATCCTGATAGGCACACTCCTCAGCAGGGAACTGTTTCGATAAAGGTTCTCAAGGAGACCTTCTCAGACAGTGGCTCTCAACATGTGGGGCACAGACCCTTTGGGGGTGGGGCGGAACGACCCTTTCACAGGTGTTGCGTATCCGATGGCTTACATAGCAGGTATTTACATTATGATTCACAGCAGTAGCAAAATTACAGTTGTGAAGGAGCAATGACATAACTTTATGGTTGGGGGTCACCACAACATGAAGTGCATTGAGGAGGTTGGGAAAGGATGGCTGTGCGACCTAAGCAGAGAGACTCTCCAGCAAACACCCTGGTGTCTGGGAACGGAAGCGGCAAAGCCCTCCCCTCCAGTCTGCATCTGCGGACACCCTATGTTGCTCACTCTTGGCCAAGGTGCTGAGACAGACGAGTGAGTTTGTTTCCACAGAACACCCACTGCTCATGGCTCTTGCCTGGCTTGCTTGGCCCTGTCTTGTTTCCAGGACATCCGAGATCACAACGTGCATGGGATATTTTTATTTTTTTATTTTTTTTTTTTAAGATTGCCAGGAGCTCATGTCTGTCATCCTGACATTCGAGTGACTGGTTTAAGTAAGGTGGAGAGTTTAAGGCTGGCCTGGGCTACAAAGAGAGATTCTGTCTTAGAAAAAACAAAAGTGATAGGGTTGGGGGTGGTGCACGCCTTTAATCCCAGCACTCAAGTGGCAGAAGCATGCAAATCTCAGTGAGTTCAAGGCTGACCCGGTCTACAGAGTGAGTTCCAGGACAGCCAGAGCTACACAGAGAACCCTGTCTTGAAAAACAAAACAAAACAAAACAAAAACGTCAAAACAGCCGTGAGCCCACGTGTGAGACCTGAGTCATGTGACCTAGCTCCGCTCCCAGGCATAAACCTAAAGTTTTCTAGGAACGTCACAAACAAGACTGAGTTTTGTTCATACAAAACAGATCTTGCTTCTTGTGCAACCCCCATGACCTGCGCTTTACATCATGCTGAAATCCACCCAGTTCAAGTCAGGAATTTCTCCGGGTCCTCAGCTGCTTCTTGATTTTTTTGAGATGGGGTTTCTGGTACCCAGGCTGGTAGCTGTGGATGACCCTGAACCTCTGAGCTTCCGGCCACCCTTCCCTACTGCTGAGGTTACAGATGGACACAACCAGATTGGGGGGGGGGAGGAAAATAGGGCTTGTGCTTGCCTGATATGATAGGTAAGCACTCTTCCAGCAGAGCTTCATCCCCAGCCCTAAATAAAAAAACTTAAAGAGAACATTGCTGTTGGCTTTATTCCTCCAGCCCCATCCTCTGCAGGTGCCTGGGCATTTTGTCCAGTCCCACCCCTTCAGTGTGAGCGAGTATTCCTTCCATCTACCACCTACACTACCCGGGGAAACCAAGACGATATGGAAACACCATTTTCTTTTGCTAGTGCGGAATTTATTTGGATAGTTTTTCTCTTTGCTACCGTTGTTCATAAGTGCCGTCGAAGGTCAGTATTTATGGAGCTGTGCCAACGCTCTGGAAAACCTTCACAAGGGCAGGCTGTGCCCTCACTCGCGGAACCCTGGCTCCCCTACTCTGAAGAGCCAGGAGTCAGTGGTTTTCTCCCCCCTACTCCCCCCCCCCCCCGCCCATGTCCCTGGTCTCCAGCTCAGCGCCAGCCCTAGGAAGCCTCCCCTACCTCCCCACCCCACCCCCACCGCATCCCCCCCCAGGGGGGCACTGAAGCAGAGGTTCTGCTCTTTCTGTTGGAGAAGTCTGTCACCATCACAATGCCCCAGAATGGAATCCAGGGCACAGGAGAGCTTGGGAGGGAGAATGTGCATACGTCCAGGGAAAGCTAAGTGACAGCTGCGTCTCCAGCCTGTCCCAGGAGTCTCGTCTATGCTGAGCTAGGGAATGAGTACCCTGCCGGCACACCTGCCTACTTCTTCCTGCTCCGGGAGACCCTGCTGCCAGCCAGGGCTCTGGGCCAATGGTTCCACACCCCTCCTCTGGCCCAGCCTCTTCTCTAGCTCGGACACTCCTTGGTCAGCTCTTCTCCATTCTTTGCCTTCAGCTCCAAGCTGACTTCCTGAGTCCAAGGCACACAACCTCTGCTCAGCCTCCCCAGGAGCTGCTGAAAGTCGGCTTGGAACTTGGAGGATGAGAAGTAGAAGACGAGAGGGTCGATGCAAGAGTTAAGGGTGCTGAGGAGGAGCACGTAGCTCCTCCAGGTCGGACTCTCACCCCGGACATAGCCCACCACGTGGGACATATTGTAGGGGCCGAAGCAGACAAAGAAGATGAGCAGTGTGGCTGCTAGAAGGCCCATCACCCTCTTGCGCCGCCGGCGGCTGGCTCCCCGGCTGAGAATCCATACCAGACGGCTGTAGCAGTAACTCGTGATGCACAGGGGTACCATAAAAAGGACCACAGCCATCTCTAGTCGCACAGGCAGGAGCACAGCCAGCTGGTCCTCCCGGAATTCCAGGTAGCAGGTTCCATTGGTCCCCTGGCTGTAGGTGGCATTTCCCCAGTACTCAGTGACATAAACCACACTACAGTGAGCCGACGCCAGGAACCAGCAGATGCCGCTGACCAGACCAGCCTGGGCCAGCCGTGGCCGGGTCTTGTACCACAGTGGGTAGGCCACGCTCAGAAAACGTTCGATGCTCACAGCGGTCAGGAAGAGGGAGGTGAGATAGATGGTAGTGAAGAAAAGAAACCCCGAGAGGGGGCAGAGGATGAAGGGCAGGAGCCACCTCATGCCACAGGCTGCCTCCACCATGCGAAAAGGCAGGAACAGTAGCAGGAGCAGGTCCGAAAGGGTCAGGTTTAGCAAAAGTAAGTCCACGGCCACAGGGCGGCGGCGCAGCTTGCCCACGAAGACCACCAGGGCCATCACGTTGAGGGGGAGTCCCACGAGGAAGACCAACAGGTACACGGAAAAGAAAAGCCAGTGATTGCCGGGAGAGACGCTCTCCCCCATGGCCACTGATGCTAGTGAGACAGAGGTGTGAATAGGGAGATAGCGTGGGGAGCTGGGGAGTCTTCTGTTCCCCCACCAGGAGACTCTCGCCCATCAGGCAGGGGTGTCGCCACCACCGTCTAACCCCATGCACTCACCCCTGCAGGGCCATCCTCTCTGCCTTCCTGCCTTTCCTGTCCCCCCACCCAGTGCAGACATCACCCTCCGTGTGCATCCTCCAGCCCCACACTCACCGGCTTATTGGAAAACCGGAGCTCCGCCGCCCAGCACCTCCCAGGCTCCTTCAGCACTAGGGCAGTGAGCTCGTTGTGCACCAGCAATGATGAAGACTCGGTGGTGCCTATGACGTCACCCATTGCAGAACAACACACAAAAGATGCTTTGAGCTCGGCTATCTGGGCTGTGTCCATATGCAAAAAAAAAAAAAAAAAAAAAAAAAAAAAAAGAAGAAGAAATTCCAAGGTTGTCTGTCTCTGCACATAGTCTCAGCCTTCCTTTCCTTTCCCCTCCTTTGACTTTATCTTCACTTGGATTTCAGCATGCTTCTCTTTAGAACACGCATATCTAGTGCTCATCAGAGTGGGAGACAGGATGCACAGACCGAGGGCTGAGCTCTTCAGCCACCTCTGTTTTTTGCTACCTCTGTGACTCAGGGGACAAATGAGTACAACTCTGTGTCTCCCATCCTATAAAACAGAGGTAACAATACAACTTCACAGGTTAAAACATGCACATTTGACCAGCTATGTAGCTCAGCAGTAGGAGCACTTGCTCGGTTGCTAGAGCACTTGCCTGTCATGTATGAAGCTCTGAGTTCGAGCCCCAGCACACAAAGCAGGAGTGGTGGTGCATGCCTGTAATCCCAGAAGTTAAGAGGAAGAATCAAGAGGATCAGGAGTTCAAGGTCATCATCAGCTACAAACAGTTTGAGGCCAACCTGGGCTAAATGAAGCCCTGTCTCAAACACAATGTAACATGCTAAACACATAGAATAGAGCCTGTCTGTCCCTGCCATGGTACTTGTGGTGCAGGCAAGGATCTGGGGTGATGGTGGTGGCGGCAGTGGCGGCGGAGGCTCTGAGAATCACAGTTACCTCTTGGTGGGAGCATAACCCACCACAGGCCCTCAGGGCACCTTTTTGTTTGTGGCAGGGACGTGACTCTCAGGGTCCGCCTTCTTGTTAGGTGTCACGGCTGGCCAGCCAGGCCAAGCGGTGGCAGGTGTGTGTGTATAGTGTTTCACACCTGGCTATGTTCATCCTGGGAGAGATCACACCTCTTCCCCCAAATATTTATGGAGCAGAGCAGGAAACCAACACCCACCCCACCAGAATGTCTGTAGCACAACACCAGACAGAACCGGGTGCTGGCAGAGACGAAGAGACCCCAAAGCCTTGGTTGATGGCCTAGGAGAGGGCACCACGGGGTAGCCACTTTGGAAAGAAAGTTAGTGGTTTCTCTAAAAACGTAAACATGCATTTACACAATACCAATAATTCCGTTGTGAGCATTTGTTGAAGAGACAGAAACGCAGGCGTGTTCACAAAACACTGGCTCCCAGACCATCTTCAACATGGCCCTAGCGACCATGGCTCACAGTGAAAATATCAGGCCATGCTCCCTTAACAGACAGACAGGTAATCGCATAACATACCACATGGATGAACCCTAGCACCTAGGCTAAGTAAAGCAAGTCAGGCTCTGTTTTGCGTGATTCCATTTGCATGAAATGTTCAGAAGAGGCAAATGTTTTAAGACAGAAAGTAGATTACCGATTAGGTACCAAGGGTGAGAGGTAGGAGGAGGCATGGAGATACACTGTAAATGAATGAAGGGATCTTCCTGGGGTACTGAAAACAGGGTCCAGCCCTGTGCAGTTACTTTTGAAAACTGGCTTGTGCACTTAGAATGTGTGAGTTAGGTCTTGGTTAAGTTGTTAACCGTGCTACTGTGAGCCAAGCAGTTTTTATTGCTTCCGGGCTTGCATGTAGTGAGAGACTAAATAAAGACATCACTACTAAAAAGGAAGCTCCATCCCCTGGGGGAGATGCATGATCTGGTTGGGAGTGGGGGTGATGGACCTGGGAGAGGATGCCAGCCTGGGTCAGATAGAGCAGGCCTCATGGGCCCAGGGAAGGGAGTGGATTGGCCCCTGAGTGGAAGGAAGCCCAGGTAACTAGGGCAATGGGCTCCACCCCCAACAGGTGCTCTAAGGCAGTGGGAACGGAGGTTCTAAGCACTATGGACGTTCACTAAAATTCTCACGAGTCCCCCTGCCCAGGGGCCACGTCTATTCCTGGCTTGCATGGTAAATGGAAAAAATGAAGTAAAAGGAGGAGGATGTGACTACTCCTAAAGTATGGCGAAGATTTTTATTGTAGAGATGAGGGAGAAAGCAGGCAGACAGGAGAGTCCGGGCTGAACATGGCTGGCAGACTAACCGGGACCACCAGAGGAGCAGGGTGCTGGTGGGGGAGAGGGGAGCTGCTAACCAAGAGCCAAAATGGCCGTTACACGGGGATCAGGGTGGGGGAAGGGATACAGACGCTCAGTCCCTGGGAGCAAGAGGTTTGTTTAGGGTAGGGGCTGGGTGAGGAGTGCTGGAAGGAGCTACAGGTACTGAGGGATGCTGGGAGAACTGGCCAGCATCCACTTTGATATAGTTACCAAATAAGTGGCACTGAATTTTCTTTGGCAAGAGACCAGGAGTATCTATCCATTGACAAATGTTTGCTGAGCACCTACTATGTGCAGGTCTCTTCTCTATGCAGTGGATCTATTGTTCAGAAACCCTTACATTCAAACACATTTAAGACCTCTGGTTTTTTTTGGGGGGGGGTAATCACTCTATAGCCCTAGCTTTAACCCTCACTATGTAGACCAGGAGGGTTTTGAACATCCAGAGATCTACTTGCCCAAAGAGACAATTTGTATGAGCCACTCCAAGCACTCTGGCCACTATGCTATCACTCATTGGAGGCTTTACTGTCATGAGACGAATAAGCTTGGTTCTGACACCTGGCCTCATCAGAGACGCCCAAGAGCCTGTCTCCTTCATGGCTACTCTCCTCTGCCCTCCCTCTTGTAGGGTGGGCTGTGCCTCTTCTCCTTCTCCAAATGACACCAATACAGCTGATACCACAAGGTTTCTTGCACCACAGAGCTTCTGGAGGTGCTGTTTGCTCAAACCAGAATAGAGAGGTTGCCCATGCATGGCAAACCGGACACAGAATCTGGTTGGTGTTGGCTCCCTCTGCTGGGCACTGTGTCTGTTACAAACCTGCCCATCTGAAACAGCAGGCACCTGGCTGAATCAACAGATTGTGTGAGTTGGGCAGCTGTAGCCTGTGCCAACAGCCTCAGTTTCTCTGTTGGTTAAGGCAGGGGAAATCAGAGGCCTCCTCAAAGGTCAGGAGTTCAAGACCAGCTTGGCTACTACCATGCCTGAACTCTGTTAAAACAGAAGGGGGTTGGTAGCTGGGGACATAGCTCAGCCGTAGAGCACTTGCCTAGCAGGTTAAAGGCTCTGGGTTCTATCTCCAGTAACACACACACACACACACACACACACACACACACACACACACACACACACACACCAGCACGAGCGGACCCAGAGGTGGGGCTACTCTACTCGGAAGGGCTCTATGAGGATGAAGCGAGGAGACACGCCCACGGTTAGAAGCTGTCTCTGCTGTCTGCAAAGCTCTGTCTGCTCTCCAGCCTGCTTTATGCGGTCGACTAGAATGCTGCCCTCTAGTGGGTTCAAAGGGGTATGGCAGGATCATGGTGGTGCCTCGTTCTTCAGAAATGGAAAAGTTTCTTCTCTCAGAAATTGTTCCAGGGAAACACTCTAAAACTGGGTCACTATAGTGGGGTTTCTCCTGATCAGAAATAAGCCTCTTCCTCATCTCCAGGGTGCAGGGCTGCGGACAGCCTATGGCAGGCAGGCAGTTAGGACATAAGGGTCAGAAGCAGTTAGGAGGCAAGCTGGGATGTATCGGGCAGGTATACTGTCCCTGCTCCCCAGCTCTTGACCTCTGCTCTCTTCTTTGTACAAGGACACTGTCTTCTCCAGGTACAGCCCTTTCCATGAACGGTCTCTGTGATGGCTGCTCCCGGGTTGAGGTGGAGCAGCCTTCTTGGGGGGTCTGGCAAAGTCATCCACATCTCTTCAGTGCCCCTTGACTCCAGAGGTGGCTGCTACTTCTGAATTGTTCCTCCTTGCCATACATACTGTCCCTCGGCCAGGACCTGCTCCCAAGTAGCCAGTGACCAATGGGTTGAGCACCACACTCCAGGCCCCTGTGATGAGCCCCAACTTCCTCCAGGATCCGCCTAGGTCCGGGTTTACGAAACTAGCCACATTGGAGGCATTGTAGGGCCCCAAGCAGAGCAGGAGTGTGAGAAGGGCCCCTCCAGCCACCCAAGCTGCCCTGACTTTCCGTTTGTGGCTCAGGCCTGAGTGGGCCAGGGCCCGGAGGCAGCCCACATAGCAGAAGGCGGTGATGACCAAGGGCAGAAAGAAGAGCAGGATGGAGAAACTGAGGCGGGCAGGGCGGGCGGAGTTGGGATCCCAGGCTTCCAGGCAGACTGGGGAACCATTCACAGGTATGTTGATTCCCAGGGAACTGGTGGCGTTGTTCAGCCACCCTCCAGGAGCCTCCAAACCAAGGACCAGTCCCATGTGGCAGAGGACAAGGGCCCATATAGCCACACACACGCCCCAGGAATAACGGGGCCTCCGAATGGCTTGGTACCCGAAGGGGAAGGCAGCCCCCAAGTAGCGTCCGGCACTGAGAGCCGCCAGGAAGCCTCCACCTGCATAGAGCGGGGCAAAGTGGGCCAGGACAAAGACAGGGCAGAAAGGGAGTGGCAGGGGCCAGGCCCCAGAAGCCAGGGCCTCCACAGCCTTCAGGGGTAGCGTGATGGCCAGGAGGAGGTCAGAGCAGCCCAGGTGGAGTGTATAGACCAGGCTGGGGGTGAGTCGCAGTCTCGCGTGGGCCACGGCACCTCGGATGGCCAGCAGGTTCAGCGGGAAGCCCAGTGCGAAGGCGGACACGTAGAGGGCGAAGGAGAGCTGTGGAGGCAGGGTCATGGGGCCGGATGGGTGGGTGCTGGCTGCTGGGGCCGGATGGGTGAGCTCTGGTTCATCAGCAGAGGGAAAAGGGTGCTCGAGTCCCACGCTGGTCTCCCTAGTTCCCAGAGCCCCAGAAGCCAGTCCTAGCATCACCGAGGATGCCGAGGCCCCCAGGAAGAGATGGCTGATGGAGGGAGAGCCACAGAGCCGGGAGAAGTCCTCTCAGTCTCCAGCCGTCCCCTCCACACTACCGCCTCTTAGGGTGGGATTGACAAGTCGGTGTAACAGGAAGAGATAGAAGGTTCCAGAGCGGAGGCGACCTCTGCTCCCGTAGACTCTAGGGAGAGAGGGGGGCAGAGGGAGGTCAGAACCTGGCTGCATGCATGTCAGAGACCCCTTAGTTCACTTCCTGTCCCTTACTCCATGGCCACAGTTGCCGTATCCCCTCAATAGGAAAGATCCTTCATCGGAGAAATCAGGGTTTGGAAGAATGGCTCAACAGATCGGAGCAAATGCGGCTTCCAGGAGACCCAAGAAGGGAATCCTAGCAGCCCTATCCGTCGCCTCACAGACATCTGTAACCCCAGTTACAATAACTTCTTTAGCTTCTCTACACATATACACATTTTTTTTTTAAAGAGAAAAACCAGGAGTGGGGGCATACATCTTTAATCCCAGCAGAAGCAGGAAGATCTCTGTGAGTTTGAGGCTGGCCTGGTCTATATATGGAGTTCCAGGACAGCCAGGGATACATAGGGAGGCCCTGTTTCAGAGAGCGCGAGAGAGAGCTAGAAACATACTGTGCGCGCGCGTGCACACACACACACACACACACACACACACACACACACACAGAGAGAGATCGGGATCGGTTGGATGCTAGCTACATCAGGCAGGGAGGATCAGACAAAGGGGATGGTAAGGGGACACAGCAGCCCAAAGACAAACCAGTTCCCATCAGTATGTTACATCTCAGGAACATCCTCAGGAACAGGAACCCAGGGAAGATAGGAGTCTTCGAAAATGGGACTCACCTCCTGGTGCTGCCGGATGCCTCTGAGGCTCAGAAGTCCCCTTGCAGGGCTATTAGGTGATGCCCAGGATGGGCAGTGAGCTGGAAGGGAGAGGAGGGCGGGGTGGCCATTAGCAGGAGGTAATAGCAGCCTGGATGAGCAGCTGATGGAGCATTCTTTGCTGGTCTGCAGGAGATGAGGGTGCACAGAGGGAGGATGGCAGTATGACTGGCTTGGCTGCAGACCTTAAAGAGGCAGGGTTCACGGGGCACAGCATTGTGCCCTCCTGACCCGTTCGCTGCCTGTACGAATCCATGGGAAGCTGGATCCACTCCAGTGCTGGATGAGTGTGGGGAACCCCAGAGCAAAGTTAGCATCTTAACAGCCATCTTTCCTACTACTCTCTTAGATACTAACATACTGGTAATTTTCCATTCCCCTATGACTGTTTTCTGTAAGCTTTTGACGCAGCCTTATCCCAGCTGCAGGCTTATCGTATAGCAACTTATCTTATAACAGATCACCTGCATCCTGCTTGGAAGGACACTCTGCCTCCCTCACATCCCCCACATCCTCCCTTTGGCCCATCCCCTCATTTCTCCACTACTTAAACCCTGTGGTTATATTCAATAAACGAGATTTGATCAGAACACTGTCTTGTCTCCATCCCTCAAGTCTCTTGTCCACTCATTCTCACCCCCTCCCTCAGGGTCCCCGACTGACCCGTGGGCTGGAGCAGATGAGCTCGTGGGCAGGTCCCTTGCTTTATCAACTCACTCCTAGGTAACAACAACAACAACAGGCATTGTAAAGACTTCAGTCACCAAAGTAGATTCATGCTGTCATTCATGGATTGACAGTAAAAGAATCACTCAGTGGCCTAAGCCTGAGGTTGCAACCTGTAATTCCAGCTGTTCTAGAAGTAGGAGGACCACACGTTCAAGACCAACCTGAGTCTACAGAGTTCAAGTTCAGCCTAAGACACTGTCTCAAAATAAAAACCGATGAAGGGCTGGAAATATGGCTCTGTGGTGTACCACTTGCCTAGAATCCCCCAGTGATGGTCTGGGATGTGGCTCAGTGTTTGCCTGGCTTATACAAGTCCTTGGTTTCCATCCCTAAACCCATTAATTTCTTTTTAATTTCTGTTTCACCTACATACACAGCTGGCAGTTCTGGTCTAAATCCTATGCAGTGACATTTTCTCTGAAGGTCTGTAATATCTTCCCCAAGCAGTTTGCTTGGTGGCCAGGTCATTCAGGGTTCCTCTGGCTGTGTAACCCATGTCTGCTATCTCTGCTAAAGGCTAGCCTCATGAGTGCCAAGGTCTGTCTTGCCTAGTGCATGGCGTCCCTCAAGGTGCTCGGGTCCGGGGAGAATTGCCTATGCTAAGGTGGAAGGCCGTAGTGTTCTGGAGTCTAGGCCTCTGGGCTTCCTGGCCACCTGTTCTTCACGCCTCAGCAAAGCTGTTGACATCCACATCTTGTGGTCAATGGGTCATGAAGGAGCTTTGTATCAGCAGCTGGGCTTGGGGACAGGATAAGCAGGTACCTGGTGGTTGCCAGGAAGCCGAATCCTGACCTTGTCAGCCTCAGGGCTGCCTTCTGCTCCTTCGAGAAGGCTTTGCCCTTGGAGGTCTTTGGAGACCCCAGGCTTGACTGACAGCCTCATGAGACTGGTTCTCATGTTACAATTCTTGCACCCCAACAAGGGACTCTGCCAGATGTGGGTTTCTGTTTTATTGTTGTTGTTTTGTATTTTGAGGTGAGGCCTCAAGCAGCCCAGGCTGGTGTCAGACTTGCTGTGTAGTGGAGCATGACCTTGAAATCCTGATGCTACACTTCCTACCTCCTTCATGCTAAGACTTCCCGCGGCAACACCAAGCCCTGCTTGTATAGTGTTGGGCATAGAAGCCTGGGATTCGTGCATACAAGGCAAGCACTAGCCACTGAGCCAAGTTTCCACCCCCAAAATGGCAAATTTGAATTCACTGAATGCTTGTTAGTTTATTAGTAGTTGAACATTGCTGGACTTCACTGTGGGTATAAAAACTCCTAAAACCTCTCTCTCGCTTAAACAGTGTTTTATTTATTTAAATGTAAAGATTGGGGGGCACCTGGAGAAAAGGTTCTGAAAAGCATCAAATATTCTTAATTGCTGAGATACAACTCCAGTTCCCCAAATATTTATTCACATCTGTGTGTGTGTGTGTGTGTGTGTGTGTGTGTGTGCTCACACGTGAGCACATGTGTGCATGTGTGTAGGGGACATAGTGAGTATGTAGCAGTCAGTTCTCTCCTTTTACCATGTGGGTCCTGCGGATCAAACTCGTTATCAGGTTTGGAGGCAGGTGACTGTGACCACTGTGTCATCTCCTCAGCTCTCTGTTTAAACGGCATTTAAAGTCCTGCTGGTCCCAAAGAAGTTAATGGTGCTCACAGGAAATACATTTGGGGACAAAAGGAGGGAATGAGTGCTGTGCTCTGGCACTGGGAAGGATGAGTAGGGACAAAGGAAAGGAATGGAACCCTTTGGGGGACCCTCCGGGGTGCTGGGAGTTGTGTGTTCCTTGCCTCTGTGGTTGGTTGAGGGGCTGGGGTGTGACTCAGAGGTAGAGCCCCTGCCTAGAATCCCCCAGTGAGGGGCTGGGGTGTGGCTCAGTGGTAGAGCCCCTTGCCAAGAATCCCCCAGTGAGGGGTTGGGGTGTGGCTCAGTGGTAGAGCCCCTGTCTAGAATCCCCCAGTGAGGATCTGAGGACATGGCTCTAAGTTTAATACCAACACTGCATGACAATGGTACCTCCATCTATTGATTTGATCATGAGATTACCCTGACTCTTTTCCCCTGCCTCCAAGCTCCAAAAAGCCATTACCATCTCCAGGTTTCCAATATAATTGCACCAGTCACCAAAGGGAAATAGTTTATGTGGCACGTGAGCCATTTTTATTATGAAGCGTTTGGTGGATTATGTACCTGTCCATGTCATCCTGCCTCTTGGTGCCCAGGACTCCTGAGGGAAGGCACCATCCCCAGAAGGCCTGACTTACTGGTAAATGTATTTGTAGGAGAAAAGCCAGCGTCTCTTGCTTCCTTAGTTCTGCCCTTCCTGGGGATTTCTGTCCAGGGCCAGACATTGGGTAAGAAGATTGGTGAGTGGGGGGTGGCGACTCAAGGGGATAGAGAAAAAGAAATAACAGTGACAATCCCAGCTGACCACAGCAGGAACACATCCAGTTGAAGTGAAGTCTCACGATGAGGTGGATGGTGGCAGATGGCTGGGCTTGGAGAAGGGGACATTGTGTGGTGTAGGGTGACGACAAGACTGCCTCAGGCCAGACACAAGGTCTTCCCATGATTGTGTGGACATCACACCCATGTCTGTGCCCAGGGAGCTGCCTTAGAAGTTACAGGTGACTTAGCAGCTGAGCCGCAGAGGCCAGTGAAGGTCTTCCTTGGGCTCCAGAACCTTCCGTTGCAGCTACTTCCAACATCAGTGCTTGAGGGTCACATATTCTACCTCTTCCTTTGCCTCAGGCCGCTTCCCAGCCCCAAACTGAACCAGTTCTGAGTAGTGGATGCTGTCGTCCTCGGGGCAGCTTGGGGTCACATTCTCATAGTCATCCTGCAAAACGTGTGACAGTAAGCCAGGCCTCACGGTGCCCAACCTCCATCCATTCTCCTCCAATGCCTTCTCTAGTTAGTCCCCCACTACATGGGGTCCAAATGTCCAAATGGGGTTATCTCGTCTAAGTGGCTATGCTCTGCGCCGCAGACACCTGTCTTGGCTCCCACCCCAGGTCTCTGCCTGAACAACTGCTGTGGTCGGAATATATCCCCTGAGCTTCAGGTGTCAGAAATGCACTGACTGTGGATCTGTAGGGGGTGATTAGATCGATGGATTAATACATAACAACGCAGAGACTTTTTTTTTAGGAAGATGGGTTCTCTCTGACATACGCCGCCCTCCCTCCCCGGCCATGAATGTTTTGTATCACCTCAGGACTCTGCCACCAGCAGATACAACTCCTTGGTCTTGGATTTCCAGAACTAACCAAAAGCCAAACTAAACCTCTTTCCTTAATAAACCACCAGGGGTATTCAGTTATAGCAGTGGAAAATGAGCTTAAGGCAGTCACCCTTCCCAATCTCTGTCTGGCAAGTGTGTCCCGTGAGGGGCTCTCAGTCGGGACCCCAGGTCCCCATCTTTCCACAGTGCTGCCTCCTTACCACGTGACGCTTCTGTATCACTGAGTAAGTGACTGTGTCGTCGATGTTTGGAGGACCCAGTGTGGCTGAGGTCCTTGCATCCCTAAGAGAGACAAAGAAGAGGGCTCTGCGTGACCTTTCCCCAGCAGCCCCCCGACTTCAGCCCCCTAAGGGAAATGTCTTGTCTCTTGTGTGCACGGTACCACAGTCTCAGCTAATGGAGCATGTCTCACAATGTGCTCAACCTGTGACTCAGCCTGGCTCGGGACACGGGCTTCTGAACTAAAGAGACAGGCCCCATCTGAGGCTGGCACTCATGGCATCATATAGCAAGAATGACGTAATGAGATGTGGTGGTGCCTGGCACAGGCCAGCGCCAAGAGGACAGGAGGGGACACCAGGTCTCCCTCCCACACCCCTCCTGAGTCACAGGTACCAAACTCCAGTATCCTCCTTACCCGGCTCTGGGTGTGTCTGTCTCTGGAAAGCGCAAGATGGCATAACTGACATTGTCATCCATCATAGGATTGTGGCATCCCTGGGGTTGGGGGTCTTCTGAGAGAGGGTTCCTACGAGTCTGGAAGGTGCAAAGTTGCCGCTGTGACTTCCCTGATCATGTCTTTCTCCTGGCCTTTGACCTCAACAACTCCCTGGAGGTTTTTGTTTTGTTTGCTTTGGCTTTTTTTGTTTTGCTTTTCCAACAGGATCTTACAATGTGTAACCCACGCTGGCCTCAAATTTGCCATTCCCCTGACGTAGCTTGTCAATCTCTGAGACTGCAGATGCCCATGCATCCTCAGAGTATCCATGCCCTTTTCTCACCTCTTATCTGCAAGGGCTACTCTGGCTCTGGTTTCACCTTACGCCCATCTTTTTTTTTTTTTTTTTTTTTTTTTTTTGAGACAGGTTTCTCTGTGTAGCCCTCGCTGTCCTGGAACTTGCTCTGTTGACCAGGCTGGCCTCGAACTCACAGAGCTCCTCCTGCCTCTGCCCCCTGAGTACCAGGATTAAAGGTGTGCGCCATTGCCTCTGCCACTATCACTGGGTTCCATCTTACCTTCTTATTCCTTACAAAAAAGCTCTGGCCGCTGGAATTTTCCTGGAACCCCTGCTGGCTCTGATTACCTTTCCACCTAAGGATCAAGAGTGTGTGAGGGTGAGTAGGAATGTCCCAGCAGGCTGAGGGCTGTGGGGAGGGGACAGGAGGAGGGTCAGGGGACGACTCACTTTTTATGGAGTTTCATCCCCCAGATAGCCAGGATGCAGATAGCCAGGCAGAACCCTAGTCCCAAGGCAGCCCGCTTGCCGATGGTCTCTGGGCTGTCTGGTGAGGAAAGAGATAACGGTTCACTCTGCCGTGTAAAGATGGCGATGACAGAGAGCATCCTGCCCTTCGCCCTTCACAAAGCCTGGTCTTTCTTTCCCCGCAGATCTCCACAAACGGTAGAGTGCTGCAGAGAAGGATGGAGAAGTGGCCGCTGGCTCCTCACTCCTCACAGGAGCCAAGGGCCAATTCTTTGTCCCCTGCAAGAGTTAGTTCACAGACAGGTCACAAACAAAGCCTGTGATCCTGGGAACCCTAGAACAGTTTGATCAGGCAATCACAACTTAAAGATCCAGCTCCATACTTTGCAGCCGAGCCACAGCGAGGGGTGCTCCTCTACCTTGAAGAGGGTGTTAGCAGGATGGGATGGGCTGCAGTCATTTAAAAGAGGCAAGCACAATCCGGGCATGGTGATTCATCTCTGTAATCCCAACACCCAAGAGGCTGAAGCAGGGGGATTGCCTGGAGTTCGAGACCAACCTGGGCTGCATAGCAAGGCCCCCTGTCTCAAATAAACAGAAGGAGAATGCATGAGTTTCCTAGGGGAGGGAGACAGGGTTGTTTTGTCTTTGAGGGAGTGTTTCTATGTAGCCCAGGCTACCCTGGAGTTCTGGGCATGGCCTCTAAGGCATCCGTGTTCAACTTCCTTTTTGTGTTTGAAAACGTTTTTTAAAAAACCTTGCACTGTATTATCTTGTTTGAAACACTAAAATGTCAAGGGGGAGATGCACACACATAGAGGGAAGGAGGGAAGGAAGGCGGCAGAGAGAGACAAGGAGCATCAGGAGTTTCTGGAAGGCAGGCCCAGCCTCTGAGGGAAGGAGCAGGGCAGGGCGACTTTCCAATCAGGAGCTACTGGTCGCAGGGGGTACCCAGGCTGAGCTGGACACGGGAGGGGATGGGAGAAGGCAGAGGCCTGACCTAAGGGAGGATGGGAACTTACAGTAGACGGTGAGGGTACTGGGCGGGGACTCGCTTTCGCCTAGCCGGTTTCTCCCTAGGCAGCGGTAAGAGCCGGTGTGTTGGACCTTCAGCGGTTCCAGCGTCAGCTTCTGGCCCGAGAAGGACATGGGTCTGTTGCTGGAGTCATACCAGACATAGTTCAAGATGGGTGGATTGGCATCACTCACACAGGACAAAGTGGCCATCTTCCCTTCCATTACGCTGTCCCCAGGGCTAATGGACACGCGCAGCCTCCGAGGAGCATCTGTCAAGGGGAAACCGAGTCAGGCCAAGGCTGCCAGTCACCTCGTCTTCTTCACACTTAGCACTCCCACCGCCCCACCCCCTACCCCCCCACCCCCTCATTCCACCCCCACCCCCTCGCTCCAGCCGCTCACACAGCACGCGTAGGTCCCAGGACTCAGACAGGGTCTCTCCAATGGAGTTGTTGGCCATGCATTTATAACTTCCCGAATCTTCTGGAGAGATGGAGCTGAAATTCAGGTCCCTCCCTTCCTGCACAAATCTCCCATTCTTCTTCCAGAGGTAGCGGACCTCTGCGGGGTGGCTCCCAGAGGAGGAGCACCAGAGGTGAACGTACTGCCCAGCATGGATCTCAGATATCCAGGGGTTCGACTTCCGGATCTTCACGTCTCTGGGAGCATCTGCAGGGCCACAGCCTCAGGTGAGGATTTGACTTTGACCTTCCTGATGTTTCCCCAAAATGTCCTGTGCCCTTGATTAGGACTTCCTATCCCTTTTAGTGTTTCCTGTTCCACGGGTCAGGACGTCCTGTCTCCTTGGCCCTGAGGCTTATGTGTCTCTTCCTCAACCCCGTGTCCCCGACTGTGGTCCAGGCTCCCACCCCTCACCCTACCCTTGCATCACCACATCTCAGTGTGACCGCCTCATGGGCGCCCTTGCCCTCTCACTCACAGTGGACATTCAGGCTGACGGGGGAGGCCCACGAGCACCAGTGGTTACAGGCAGCGCAGCTGACGGACTTGAAGTCCCACGGAACTTTCTCAATCCTCAGCACTCCGGATGTGATCTGACTCCCAGAATCTAAATGGCTCCAGAGGTAGGAGGTGACTTTAGGGTTGCTCGAGTTGTACCTACAGGCCAGGGTCACGCTGTCTCCTTCCCGAATTGGTGTGTCATTTTCAATCACCGTGGTCACCAGCTTGGGGGCATCTTCAGCAGAGCAGAGGGGTGGGAAGGCATGGTTACTTTTGTTCCCCTTTGCAGCGCCAGAGACCACATTCTCGGCCTTGCACAGGCGAGATGAGGGCTCTACCCACTGAGCCACCCTGTTTTTCTTTTTAACCCTTTATTTTTGAGTCGGGGGTCTCGCGCATTTGCACAGGCCAGCCTTGAACTTGTGGTCACCTCTCCTGTGTAGCTGAAGTGGCTGGCCTTGCACCACCTGAGCCAGTGGCAAAGCTGGTTTTCATTAACGCCTTTGCGTACCGTCCCCGAATGAAGCCTCTCTTGCTTCCCTCTTGGGCTGTGAGATGCAGCGCCAGAGCCCACGCCGTTTAAAGCTGCCTGACTGTGGGCTGCACCCCGTCAGAACACCCACCATCCAGATTCCTCCCAGAGGACACCCTTAGAGCAGCTAGTGCAGTGTCATAAACAGCATGCTTTGCTACTGCTGTCCAGTTGTCTAGACGTTCAGAATGTAGATGTCCCATCTATGTGCGAGGCACTCGGTGTCCAACAATCGAGTTCCTTGTCCTGGGAGCAGCTTGATACCAAACTATGCTGTGCCAGGGGATGCCAAACAATGGTAGGATAACTCGACACTCTGGGACTTCCTCCGGGCTTCACCTGCTGCCACTGACACCATATCTTCATGTCCCCGTGAAGCCCTGATAGTAGGCAGGGTCTCACATAGCTCAGGTTGGCCTTGAACTTGCTATATACACGCCCCCAGCCCCTCACTGGGGGATTCTAGGCAGGGGCTCTACCACTGAGCCACGCCCCAGCCCCTCACTGGGGGATTCTAGGCAGGGGCTCTACCACTGAGCCACGCCCCCAGCCCCTCACTGGGGGATTCTAGGCAGGGGCTCTACCACTGAGCCACACCCCAGCCCCTCACTGGGGGGGGGGATTCATTGTAGTGTTTTGTTGCTGAGCCATGCTGCCAGTCTCTTACTGGTATGTTGTAGGAAGTACTCTGTCACTGAGCCGCACCCTAGGTCCTCTTTCTACTTTTGAGGCAGTCTCACTAAGTGGCCTAGGCTGACCTTGAACTCACTGTGGAGCCCAGGCAGACCTCATATTTGTGATCCTTGTCTCAGCTTCCCCAGGAGCTGGGATGACAGATCTGGGCCACCAGGCTGGTGACATCCATCCATCCATCCATCCATCCATCCATCCATCCATCCATCCAGCCAGCCAGCCATTCATCAAACATCTACTAAGTAATTACCACAAGCCAAGGCTCTGGTCTGCATGTCCCTGCTTGCTTGTCTTTCCCACACTCCCATACCCCTACACCCTATTTGCCTTCCTTCCCCATTTCCCTCTTTCCCCACAAGAACCAGAGGTCGGGTGGCCGCTCACACTGGACATCCAGCTCAGCTTCTTCACCCTTCAGTCCAGGACCCAGGAGGTTCTCTGCCAGGCAAGAGTAAATCCCAGCATGCCTCAGGGAGACTTCAGGGATCCGGAGTTTCTCTTGTGTCTCTCCAGGCACTTCCTTTTTGTCATGGTACCAGGTATAGTTTGTTGCTCTTGGGCTGGCCAGGGACTCACAAATCAGCTCGACTGACTGTCCCTCTACAGCAGGCGGGTGGTAGATGTGAACCTTGGAGGGTTCTGGAACAACTGAAAGAGGTCACAGAGGCCCCGGGGCAGGTGAGCAGAGCCGGAATGCCTGGGCGGGCAGGCAGGAGAGCCTCCATTATCATCCCATAAGGATCCTGCTGACTCCCTACCCTCCCGTGCCAGCTTCAAGGGAACTCACACAGCACTGTGAGGGCCACCTCTTCCGACTGTCCCAGACCCAAGTCATTGAAAGCCCTGCAGCGGTATTTCCCACTCTTGTCCTTGGTCACATTATTCAGGGTTAGTGTGAGTTCCTGTTCCTGCAGGGGGTGTCCATCCTTGACCCAGGACACCTTACTGTAGTCTGGGTTGCTGCTGGTAACCCGGCATATCATGGTCACAGAGTCACCCGTCCTGACTTCTCTGGAACTGGCCTCGATCGTGAGCTGCGGGATGTCTGTGGGAACAGAGGAGCAGTGGGGGAGAGGGCAGGGAATTCTCGGTGGCTGTTTCCGTCCAGACAGCAGTCGCTTGCACATCTGTGGTTCCTTTGTCCACCCAGGCGCCCCTCACCTGTCTCTCTGTTCCCCTTCCTCCCCTACCCCGTGGTCTATGCCAGCAGCCCACAGCATTCCTAGCGTTGTCAGACATTGACCCCGAAGCTGTCCCCTGGGCTCCAGGAGACCCGGTGTCCTGCATCCTTTTACCTCAAAGGGCTTGGCCCATTGTTCTCTCTGATCCTCGGACACTATGCTTGCTCCCCAGCATCTTCCCACCTGTTCCTTAGAACCTTCTTTGCCTGCCATAGTCCCGCTATCACATCAGCCAAGGTCTTCACCTTCTTCACAAGGTCTCCATCCATCACTCTGCTTTTCTTCCTTTCTTTTTCTCTTCTTTTCTTTTTGAGGTATTTTTGTGTTCCCATGTGGATATGGAGGTCAGAGGACAGCCTTGGGTTTTGTGCTTCAGGAGCTGCCTGCATCTTGATTTTACGTTTTCTGAGACAGGGTCTCCCACTGACCTGGACCTCATCAATTAGACGAGTCTGGTTGGCCAGCACATCCCAAGGATCCACTCGGATCTGCCTCCCCAGTGTCCAGACAACAGCACATTGCCAGCACACTCAACTTTTTGTTTGTTCTGTTGTTCCTCTTCTTCCTCCAGACAGGGTTTCTCTACAGAGCCCTGGCTGTACTGGAACTCACTCTGTAGACCAGGCTGGCCTTTGTAGATCCATCTGCCTTTGCCTCCACAGAGCTGAAACTAAAGGCGTGCGCCACCACACCCAGCTTGCACTCAACTTTTTAAATGTGAGTTCTGGGACTCAAACTAGAATCCTCATTCTTGTAAGGCAAGTACTTTTTTAAAAGATTTGTTTTCTTTTAATTGTGTGTGTCGTTGTGTCCGAAAGGCTAGAGGCCTCAGATCCTGGTGAGCTGGAGTTCTAGATAGTTGTCAGCTCCCTAATGTGGGTGCTAGGAACTGAATTCAGGTCCTTTGCACAAGCAGTAAGTGCTTTTAACCACCAGGCCATCTCCCCAGCACCCCCCCCCCAAAAAAAAAAAAAGAAAAAAGAAAGTATTATTGGGGCTGGAGCGATGGCTCAGCAGTTAAGAGCACTGGCTGCTCTTCTAGAGGACCTGGGTTCAATTCCCAGCACCCACATGACAGCTCACAAAGTGAGCTAAAACTCCACTTCCAGGGATCCAACTTCCCCTGCTGGTCTCCATGGACACCATGCATACAAGTGGTTCACAGACATATATGTAGGTGGAACACCCAAACACATAAAAATAAAAGTCAAAAAAAGTTTAAAATAGTGAATACTCCCGGTAATTCTGTTTTGTATTTCTTGGTTAGTCTGTTTCTTTTTTTTTTTTTTTTCTCTTTCTTTTTTTCAATTTTTCAAGTCAGGGGTTCTCTGCGTGTAGCTTTGCAGACCAGGCCGGCCTTGAACTCACAGAGATCCATCTGCCTCTGCCTCCCGAGTGCTGCGATTAAAGGCGCGCGTCACCTCCACCCAACTGGTTAATCTGTTTCTTATGTGTCTACTCCATTGCAGCACTCCCTCCACACAGGCAAAACCTGGCTCAGTGCCATGTTCTCCATCTAAGCTAGCATCCATGGCAAGATCCGGCACCTAATCAGTTCACAGAGGCTTTGTTTGTTTGTTTTAAAATAAGGTGTAACCATACCCTAGAGTTCACTATATAGACCAGGCTGGCCTCAAACTCACAGAGCTCCGCCTACCTCTGCCTCATGAGTGCTAGATTTAAAAGTGTGTACCACCATGCCAGCTCCATAGTAAATATTCAGCAAATAGATGATTGGATGGATGAATGAATGAATGAATGAACGAATGAACGAATGAGGCATAAAATAATGACGTGCAAACTTCTTTGTACAGAGAACAAAGAAACCTAACCAGATGATCCTCAAAATATGCCGTGGCTGGAAAATTGATTGATGGATTCCTGGAGGTTGGTCCAGGGTCTCACACATGCTGGGCAAGCACTGTACCGCTGGGACACATCTCTGGCCCTTAGGTTTCCAAGATGATGTCTCACTATGTAGTCCAGGCTGTCCTCAAACTCAAGATCCTCCCGCTCTGGTTTCCTGAATACCCATGCACAGGCCTTATCTCCACACTCAACTAGACTGCTTTGTTCTTCAGGGAAGGCAGAGGCTAAAATGAATCTGTCTTAGGAGTCAGGACTGACAGAGGAGGCCGTGGGAGGGTCTTGCCACGCCCAGAAACAGGTGATTGACAGCTGAACCCTTGGTGGGGCTCAAGGGGTTTAGAAAGACTACAAGGTGGTGCCCTTCCCCCACAGAGACTCACGTTTAACATCCAGACGCACTGTGTTCTCAGAGAGCACTTGGGTGGAGTGCAGGACTTGGCACGTCACGTTCTTTCCGTGGTCCATCCACTCTGGGTGGAAGGTGAGATTGCTCTCTGTGTAGACATTCTTAACAGTGGTAGTGGTAGAGGTGGTGGTGGTTTCAGGCTTTTTCAGGGACCACTCCAAGTGAACGGGGTACCCAAAGCAGGCAAAATTCAGTCTACAGGTCAGAGTGACACTTTGGGATGCCTGGATTTCTGTTGGCACCATGATGTAAGGTGGGAAGGGCGTCGCTGAAAAAAAAAAAAAAAAGGAGCCCTGGGAGTTGGGGGTGGGGTGCAGACTAGCCTTTCACCCCTGGCTTTAGGCATCCTGCCCCATATGACCCCAGAACAATCCGTTACAAGGCCATTCTATATCCTGTTCAGTTCAACTTCTCTGTGGAAGGCCGTAGGGACACTAAGCATGCTGGGAAAGTGTATTTTACATTTACTTTGTTTTTCAGTTCCTCCTTTTACTTTCTAAAGGGTCTCAGGATCACCCAGGGTGCATTTCTTGGGCTTAGTTATGCATGCATTGCTAAGCATTGGTGACAAGCTAGTGTCTGTTTGGCAGCCTCGGTATTGGAGTCAGTCAAGCAGACCTCCCTTTAGTGGGGTGATCGATCCTGAGGCCCAGGTTTCAGGTCTCCACCAGGCTAGATTACCCCACAGGTGTGAAGTCACGGTGCACAGCACCCATAGGTGAAGTCACGGTGCACAGCACCAATAGTGCTACCCTGGACTGGTGACACTGTCTGGGGCCCAGGCCCCTGTGTGGCTGTTGTGATGAGCCGCATCTGAGCCCTGCGTGCTTGTCATCTAGCCTAAAAGAGATTTGAAAATCCAAACCTCTATGTTCTTTGGAAAGATCTAAAAACCAAAACAAAAAAACCAAAAACCGGACAGCCTGGACAACAGATTCTGGAACAGACAGGGGCTGAGGGGGAAATGCCTGAGGTGGGGCAAATGCTTGCCCTGCAGTTGACCTCATCCCCATCAATATCTCCTGGGTGAGTGGGGAGAGGAGGAGGAGGGGAGGGAGAGAGAGAGAGACAGAGAGACAGAGAGACAGAGAGAGAGAGGAAAGGACTTCACCACGCCTAGGTATGGTGGAGGAGAAGGTTTATTGTAGGTAAAGGGGAGAGTCCAGAGTGGTCATGACCCTGAGCTGTGTGAGAGGTGGAGAGGAGGACAGAAGGGAGAGAGGGAAGCCAGCTAGAGCAGCCCAGAGGGCCAAAGGTAAAAATGGCGGGTAACCAAAATGGCCAGATTATATAGGAAAGAGCCTCTGGGGGCCGGGGAGGCAGCCTAGACCCTGGGCTGGAGAGTTGGGGTGGGGTATGCCAGTCATACCCTGTAGTATGACAGGTAGGGGCTGCGGGAGGCTGGAAGAACTTGGGGGCCATTTCCACTTTGATATGTTAAACAGGCGCCTCAGCCCTTGGTCCTAGAGCCACTCAGGGTTCCCACCTCCCTCTTGGCCTCTGCCGGAACAGGGTGCTGCTTCCCTGTGCCCTTACCGGAGATGTTGAGGGACACGTGCTCCATCCATTTGTCTTCACCCCATACCATCCTCAACCCCAGCTGTCCACTGTCATTGGCGTGTATCGGGTGGATTTCCAGGGTACAGTTGTCTTTCCTGTCTCCATGGAATGTCACCCTTCCATGCTTAGAAGGAGATGATTCCATCTTGGTGTCATTATAGAGGACAATCCCCTTGAAGTCCTTGCTATTATTGTCAAAGGTGTAATTCTGATACAGGAGGACCTTCTCAAGTTTGTGGACCTGGTTGACTTGTCTATTTAGCCTTTTGTACTGGCAAGGAATCCAGACGCAGGCTCCCTCCCAGGCGAAGATGGTTTGGGGATGGTGAACAGTCCATGAGTCAAACAAAGCCACTTGTCCTAAAGATCATAGCACTGGTCAGAAATCATTGTTGAGTGGTGAGAACTTTCATAGGAAGTAGGAGATGGGGACACAGAGGCGAGGGGAGCATGGCACATCTGTCTGTAACTGCCTCCCAACAGTTCCCCTCCATCCCCAGATCCACCCCCTCTCCATATTACCCACTGACATCTTCAAACCCAGGTGCCAGCCTGGGCCTTACCTAGAGTCAGGAGGAGCCACGGGCAGTGGATATTCATGGTGTCACGTCTCAGTGGGACCTACAGAAACAGAAGTTAGTCCTCAAGATGGGCGTGCTGGTATGTGACTATAATCCCAGCATGCACGAAGTAGGAGCAGGAGGATTACTACAAGTCTGAGGCTAGCCTGGGCTATATTCCGAGACACTGTGCCAACAATGAAAAGTATTTGCCTTTGAGCCATCTGGCTGCTTTTGCTCGTTCCATCTTCTGAACTCTGATCCCTTTTTTCTGACCCTGGTTTGGGGGTGGGGTGCATACCTGGTTATATGATGGAGATGTTGGGGTGTTCATAAGGCCTTTTCTGGGTACACCATACTTCTTCAAGAAGAGGCCTTCCTTTCCTTTCTTTTTTCTCTGCCTCTCTTCTATCCATGTGTTTAATTTAGAATTTTTATTTTATATTGTGTGTGTGTGTGTGTGTGTGTGTGTGTGTGTGTGATGTACGGCACAGGTGTATGCTGCAGGGGACTTGATTCTTTATCTCCACCTTTAAGCGGGTCCCAGGAACTCAGCTCACATGGACAGGCTTGCACGGCAAACACATCTGCCCACCGAACCATCTTGCTGACTTATAAATTCTACAACTCCTTATCCTGCTCTCAGGCTCTGTGTTGCATGCCTTCAGTGCCCGGTAACAAGGATCTGCCCAAGCTACGGTGCAAGAGTTTACATAGGAGGCAGTCAGAGTGAGGGCGAAAGCCCTATTAAACCGAATCTGAGCCTCGTGACTTAGGCCTGGAGTTCCAGCTGTCCCAGAGGATGAGGCTAAACAATTGTAAGCTCAAGTTCAGCTTGGTAACAGAGCACATTCAAGCCCAGTCTAGTCACCTTAATAAGACTTTGTCTTAAAACAAAAAATGAAAAGAGAGCGGGGGTGTATCTCTGTGATAGAGGGATCTCCCAGTGGGGCAGCGAGGGCATGGCTCAGTGGTAGAGCCCCTGCCTAGAATCCCCCAGTGAGGGGCTGGGGGCATGGCTCAGTGGTAGAGCACCTGCCTAGAATCCCCCAGTGAGGGGTTGGGGTGTGGCTCAGTGGTAGAGCCCCTGCCTAGAATCCTCCATAAACATGGCTGGCACCAATACCTCCTCCATGAAACTAGACTCTCAGGAACCCAAGGAATAGGGCAGAGCCAGCCACTGTTCTAATCCTAGCCATGCTTTTTAGCAGATTAAAGACTCATATGGTCAGGAAAAAATAGAGATATACAGTAAAGACTGATTTAGATGAAGAAAAACCTCTCAAGGATTTACAGTGTATTTGAAAATGTACGTAGGCTTGGGAAAGAAAAGAAAAAGGATAAAGTCCTTTAAAAAGAAATAGAGTACCTGGGTGTGATGGCGCACGCCTTCAATCCCAGCATTGCAGAGGCAGGCGGATGTCTATGAGTTCAAGGCCAGTCCGGTCTACAGAGTGAGTGCCAGGACAGCCAAAGATACACAGAGAACCCCTGTCTCAAAAAATAAAATAAAAGATTTTAAAGCCACGTAAAGATGGAAAATGCACAGAGAGTCTGGGTACTGGATGTTACTGTGTTGTCTTTGGATTGCTTGACTGCTGAGGAAGGAGTAGCAGCTGCTAAAAGACGTTTGATTATAAATGCTGCTGGATTAATCCAACCTATGAATTTTAAAAATGCCTTGACTTCAAATTTTAAGTCTAAGGACATACTACTTTGGAAAAGAAGTTCTGCTTTTGTTTCCACAGAAGACTAAAAAAAAAAAAAGCTGTGGATTCCTTCCAGACTAATGTAGTTTAATCAAACAAGACCCCTGTAGCACTGGCCCAGGTGATCCAACATCTAAAACAGCTGAGACCATGCAGCCTCACAGACCCCTACAGCCAGGATTTGGCCAGGGTTCTGGGTTTTCTCAGGATCCCCATTGGATTGACATTATCCCCAAACAGCAGGAAGCAGTTTGGAGAGAACTACGCCCAAATTCACAAATATTGTTTATAAATGTTTGTTTTCATTTAATTGTGGTTGGTTATAAAGGGTTAATGATCACAGTCAATCTTTTTCTTTTTCTAAAGACAAAAAGGAATATGATATAGAAATTAATACTTTGCGTTGGTATGGATTTTGGTTTATTGATACAAATTTAAGGTCAATTTTGTTATATGTATATTTCTACTCTTGTTTAGATATTATGTTTATACAATTCATTTAAAAATGTATAATTAAATACAGATTATAGATAGTCACCTGTAATAGTTAAAATTCAGTTATGTTAGTTAAGTTTTCTAGATATACAGAGATCTATTTCAAATATGTAGGAATTCTTCAAGATCTTTCAAAGATCTACAGAATACGACATTTAAAATGGTTTATTAGGTTTTTCATGACAGTGAGACACAACTGCTCCTGGCAACACCAGTTATGTCAGAGAGGAAGATGGGCATCGAAGAAACTCATTATGGAGTTTGCCTTCAACATGACAGGAATAGCCCCTTGGACAGGAAACCGCTCTTGAGAGCACACTGTCCAAACTGAGCAAGCAGGTTACAAAGGAAAATGACTGCTGAACTTGCCAAGGGACAGGATGGTCCTTCAAGGTCTATCAAAAAGTCTGCCAGACACTGTAGAATTATAGGCTGAAGACGGACGCCCCAACATTACAGAGAACTTTGGATGACTGTCCAGGCAGTGAGATGTCTCTGCCAATTCTAGAGTTTATATATTATATCCTTCTGTTTTTGTTGTTGTTGGTTTTTTAATTTTTTGTTTTTTGGGTTTTTTTTTTATTGTTGTTGTCTTATATTCCTTCTTGTATGTGTCAAAACTCATTCTGAGCAATGAATTCTGGGTTGTAAAAGAAGATTTATTTTCGCACCTGTCTAACCTGACTTTGTCCACCAGCTGAACAAAAACCCATACAAGTGCTACCTTCTGATGTCTTTGTGGAGCTGAAGACAGATGGTTATGGTTATGTTTTCCATTAGTTATGATAAAAGATAATTTACATATAAAACTTTAGACTCACCAAAATAGGATAGATGATAAAATCTTTTCTTAAATGTTACCAAATGTTAGTGAACTAAATATTGTTAACTATAGTTCTTGCTTGATAACTGGTTTGCTGTGTTAAAGTTAAAACCTTCCTTTTTATTTAGACAGGAAAGAAGAGATGATGAGAGATGTCCTTCTGTATGTTGTGACTATGTGTTTCTCTATGTGTGATGAATAAAGTTGTTTTGGCCAATGGACTGGCAGGATGTAGCCAGGCAGGAAATCCACCTGGGGATAGAGAAAGGTAGTAGGTGGAGTCAAGGAGACACCATGTAGCTGCCAAGAAAGCAAGAGGTCCAGTCATCATGGCTAAGCCAAGACCATGTGGAGACACACAGATTAAAAGAAATGGGTTAATAATTAAGAGAGAGCTAGCCAGTAACAAGCCTGAGCCACTGGTCAAACCGTTTATAATTTACATAAGCCTCTGTGTGTTTATTTGGGGCTAAACGGTGCAGGACCAAGTGGGACAGAGCTTCTGTCAACAGGGGTGTGGCTCAGTGGTAGAGCCCCTGCCTAGAATCCCCCAGTGAGGGGCTGGGGGTGTGGCTCAGTGGTAGAGCCCCTGGCTAGAATCCCCCAGTGAGGGGCTGGGGGTGTGGCTCAGTGGTAGAGCCCCTGCCTAGAAGGCACAGTCCCTAGGCTTAACCCCGAGTACTATCTCAAAAAGTGAGACTAAACCCATAGTGAAGTATGACATCAGGAAAATATTTTGAGGGGTTTAAAAAGCCTTAAATACAGAGAATGGTCCAAAGGACCCCCTCTGGAGCCCCAGGTGCTGATAGGAAACAGGGAAAGGTATTCCTTTCTAACAGCATCAGCCAGTTTTTACCAGGTGGGAACAGGGACCTCTCATTGTCTGAAAATCCACTGTTTTGCCATAAGAAAGAAGGCAGATTGTCATGAGAAATGTTTTTGTTTTTATAAATAATACATAGGATCAGCCATGGTGGCATACACCTAAAATCCAGCACTTAGGAGTGTGGATCAGAGAATACAAGTTTGATGCTAGTCCAACAACAGAAATATAGAGTGTTGGCCTGACAGAACTTAGCTGCATTTAGGTGCCTCAGATTTACAGCTGATACCCAATATTCCTCTCTCTCTATCTCTCTCTGTGTGTCTGTCTGTCTCTCTCCCTCCCTCTCCCTCTCCCCCCCCCTCTCATACACACATACACATACTCTTCCTCTGCAGTGAGCTTGACCTCCACCATCACCATCCTACTCTTTACATAGAGTTAAATTTAACTCTCCTCATGAGGCTGTGACCTGTGTCAGCCCCCAGGGATCTCGCAGGATGTGCCAACCTAGTGTGTCTCCGGTGTCGGTGCAGAACTGCATCCCTTCCACCCACACTGCCAACATGTCCTGTACCTGGTACAGCATCAGCACCTCTCCGGCGATTTCCCTCCCAGGCCACAGGCCACAGGTGGGGAGGGCTGATGGGTGGGAGCAGGTATAGGGAAAGCTAGTCCACTGGCTGAAAGCAGGCTGGCTTCTGTCCCCCGTGAGGGGGTTGGCCTGGCCTGGGTGTGTAAGAGGCGAGGTGGGCTGGGGCAGGTCATCGGCGACAGAACTGCTCACAATTTTCCAGGGCCAGGGGTACGTGTCTCACAGCGATACCCTCCAGGTCATGGCCACTCGGGAAAAGCCAAGTTCAGCAGAAGGCTTTATACTATGGGATTCTACGATGGCTATTGAGCTCTGCGGGCGACACATGTCACTAGACATGGAGTAGACAGGCGGTTTCCCTTACTTCCTAGGCCAGGAGTCTATTTAATCTTTTCATCACCAGCTTGCAGGATTATAAGTTCTGTTCTGAGAGACGCTCTTTGAGACACCCTCTGTGTCACTACAAGGGTTGTGGCCGCAATCAGCCCCCAGGCGCAAGCACCTGCAGCTATGTCCTCAGCAAGGTTTGGCTGGAAAGGCAATTCCAGAGCAGAGGTGCCTGCCTGTGGGGTTTCCAGCAGTCACTGTAGCGAGCCTGGGATGGATGGATGAGGAGGTAGAGTAGGGCAGCAAGTTACTAAATCCAGAAACAGAACAGGGCCTCCCTGTCCAGACCTAAGATTTGCTCAGCTCAGACCTGCTGGGGGCCTTGGGGTCGGCTTCCCAGGCCCACCATTCCCTCCTGGGCATCAGCTTCTTCTACCTCAGTGACCCAGAAAATCTGGCAAAGGGGATGGCGAAAGACAGGGGTCTGTCTGTGCCTATTGTAAGTTAGATAGAAGAAACAGTAGGTCCCTATGACCAGCATGCTACTCCATCCATACTTCTTGTTGAGAACAAGAGAAAAGATCAAAATGGTGTTTACCTGTGTCCTCGGGTGTGCGTGCGTGTGTTCGCTCTTCAGGGTCCCTAGCAGCCTCTGAGAGTAAAAGTAAATGAAGTCTCACAAGGTTGGCCACACCCCCTTCCTCTCTGTGGCTCTTGAGACCAGCCGCAGATAGAGTAAACTGTGGTGTGGGGGAAAGAGACCTGGGAGGAGAACACAGGATTGGAGTCAGGTTGCAAGGGATGTTTGACTCTGCACTCACATCTTAGCTTGTGGGATCCATGTCTGATGAGTCACCAAGGTTTGTTCACCTACCCCTCTATGAAACCATTGCTCGTGAGAGCTTCTAGCCAGCTGAGAAGGAACAAGTCTCCTTGAAGGTGGCTTTAGTTTGGTTGATACCATCTTGTTCCTAGCAGTTCCATCAAAGGCAGGGGCCGGGGACCTGGGTCCTGGGAGTGGAGGCCTCAGCAGCTCCATGGGCTGGGCAAGAACAGGGCTCTGGTGAAGGAAGTGTTGCTATATGGGGATCTTTTCTGCTTGATATTTATTTATTTGGGTTTTGTTTTTTTCAAGACAGGGCTTCTCTGCATAGCCCTGGCTGTCCTGGAACTATCTCTGTAGACCAGGCTGGCCTCGAACCCACAGAGATCCGCCTGCCTCTGCCTCCTGAGTGCTGACCCTTGATTTTTATTGATTTGTGCTGGTATGCTGGCGTGAGCGTGTTGTGTGTATATGTGTGCTTGCATCAGTGCTTGTGTAGAGGTCAAAGGACAACTTGTGGTCACCTCTCTCCTTCAACCATTATGTGGATTTCAGGGGTGAAACCTCGGTTGCCCAGCTTGCCCACAACTACCTCTTCTCCAGCAGCCACCACAGCGATGCAGATCCTGCAGGTGACAGGGAACATGGGAGGGAGAGATGACCTCAGTTTTCCAGGGTTAGGGAATGTGGTGCACACAAATGTCTTCAAGGTCATGTCCGACTGGGAAAAGATGAATGTCAACAGCTGTGTGTGTGTGTGTGTGTGTGTGTGTGTGTGTGTGTGTGTGTCCATCCGTCCTGCAAGCCTTATGGTTGGAAAACAAACTGCAAAGAGTCAATAAACTCCTTGCAAACACATGGGTCTGGTGAGGATGGGTTCCACAGCTTAAGGGCCTTGGATCTGGTATGATCTCCGACCGAGATAGCACAGCAGGATATAAAGTGCATGTGATGCCTCCCCTAAAGATGGGATCTATTAAGTGGGAGCTAGGGATGGAGAGTCTGGGATAAACATTCTGGGGGATTTGGGTGAGGTGTGCCTCCACAGATAGCAAAGGTCCCCGGGTTATTAATAGCATCCAGTCCTAGTTTTGTGAGTAGAGGACAGAGGAGACCCCTGCATGGTTAACATCCCTGGTTTCCCCAGGGTAAAGATCTGAAGACCTCGTGCCCTCTACTCATCAGGGGGCTTTACCAGGGGCTTCTCAAGCTGTCTGATGAGCTCTTCGTGTAATGTGTGTGGCAGGCATGGGGTGGCCTGAGGGTAGCCAGCCACACAGATTCAGAAAAGGTTAAGAAGAACTGTGGAAGACAGTGATGGGGGCAGCAGCAGATGGGGGCTACTCAGGAAGCTGAAACAGGAAGATCAAAAGTTCAAGGTCTGCCTGGGTCACAGAATAATTTCAAGACTAGCTTCCCCAATTTAATGAGACTCTGTCTTGAAATAAATCATGAGAGCCTGGGAGTGTGGTAGAAGAGTAGAATCTTCAGCCTGCTTACAACCCCCACTGAGGGGCTGGGGGCCATGACTTGGTGGTAGAGCCCCTGCCTAGAGTCCCCCAGTGAGGGGCTGGGGCGTGGCTCGGTGGTAGAGCCCCTGCCTAGAGTCCCCCAGTGAGGGACTGGGGCGTGGCTCAGTGGTAGAGCCCTGCCTAGAATCCCCCTGTGAGGGGCTGGGGCGTGGCTCAGTGGTAGAGCCCTGCCTAGAATCCCCCAGTGAGGGGCTGGGGGTGTGGCTCAGTGGTAGAGCCCCTGCCTAGGATCCCCCAGTGAGGGGCTGGGGCGTGGCTCAATGGTAGAGCCCTGCCTAGGATCCCCCAGTGAGGGGCTGGGGCGTGGCTCAGTGGTAAAACACTTCTCTAGCATGTCTGAGGACCTATTTTAACCCCCAGTACTGCCTCCCTCAAAAGTAGTAATATAACAAGGACATAACCAAGGTAGAAAAACTCCACAAATCAATAGCAAATACCTGGATTTGATTCCTGTACAGAACTGTGCTTGAAAAGGAGGAAATAACTAATTGGCCATGGTGCTACCCACTCTTAATTCACAACCAGGAAATCTTCAGGAGGGTGGAGACTCCTGTGCCCCTCCCCATCCATGCTACATTCTAACTACATTTTTTTTTTTAAGACAGGGTTTCTCTGTGGCTTTGGAGCCTGTCCTGGAGCTTGCTCTGTAGACCAGGCTGGCCTCGAACTCACAGAAATCCACTTGGGTCTGCCTCCCGAGTGCTGGGACTAACAACATTTTTGATGGATGTTTGACTGAATCCATAGATCCCAATGTGGAGGATGTGTGTGGAAGACTGCCTATCCTTTTTCCTATATCTCCTGCTAAGTACAATTAAAAACCCCAGACCGTGGTGGTGGTGGGGAGCACAGGAAGGCTAAGGGGAGCAGAGAGAAGGCTCATGCCGGTTAGAAACCCTGAGCTCTGGCCAGGCAGTGGTTGAGTTTGAGGCCAGTGTGGTCTACAGGGTGAGTTTAGGACAGCCAGGACTGCACAGAGAAACCTTGTCATGAAAAACCAAAAGAGGAAAGAAACAGAAGGAAGGAATGAGGGGAGGGAGGGAGGGAGGGAGGGAGGGAGGGAGGGAGGGAGGGAGCCTGAATTCCAAGGAATGATACATCAGTCAATTCCCTGGCTCTTTGCCTCTTTTTTGACATAGTGTCTCACATAGTCCAGGCCTTAAACTTGCTATGTAGTAAAGGATGACTTTGCATTCCTTTTTTTTCAAGAGGCCATGAATTTGGTTGGAGGGAAGAGAAAGAAGGATGAAGTGTGCGTGTGTGTGTGTGTGTGTGTGTGTGTGTGTGTGTGTGTGTGTGTGTGTGTTCCCCAGTGCTGGGATTAAAGGCCACTGTTTCTTACTCTTTTGTCTCCACCTCCCAATGCTTAGATTAGAGATGGGAGCCCTCATCCCTGCTTTCCTGTGGGACTGTGGCATGAGCCGGTCTAGGCAAGCACAGTACCACCTAAGCCACACCCCCTCCCTCCCTGCCTCCCTGTCTGCCTCCCTGCCTCCCTGTCTGCCTCCCTCCCTCCCTCCCTGCCTCCCTCCCTCCCTCCCTGCCTCCCTCCCTCCCTCCTCCCTCCCTCCCTGCCTCCCTCCCTCCCCCCTCCCTGCCTGCCTCCCTCCCTCCCTCCCTCCCTCCCTCCCTCCCTCCCTCTCTCTCTCTCTCTCTCTCTCTCTCTCTCTCTCTCTCTCTCTCTCTGCCTCATCAATACCAAAGCACATTCAGGTGAAGCTAACACATGGACAAAAACCCTGCTTTGTCAGCCGAAACACAAAGAAACGGATACCCTCAGAGTCAGAACATGCAGCTTCTGCATGTCAGGCAAACGGTCCAGAAAAAGCCCAACGCCATCCTGTACGTTTGCATCATGCTGGAGAAAGTCCCGTGTGGGTCTGGACCATCACCGCTGCCAGGCTGTAACAAAGATTCGAGAATACTCTCCTCACCTTCCACCTTCCACCACCAGAGAAGACAGAATGTGGAGCTGGGACCTTTATTGCCAGTAGGATGGTCTCGGCACAATTGGGACCGAGGTCCTTCCGCTTAATGAGAAGCTCCTCCTCCACCCACCCTTTGGCCTATTGGGAGGAAGTCAGGGGCTCTCTCAGGATATCACGGAGTTCCATTTCTCAGTAACATGGGCAGCCACACAGGAAGAGCCGAGGGGAGGCTAGCCCACTTGAGCATGTGGCTCAGGCAGGCCTTGCCCATCTCTCCACTTCCTTCTGCCTTGCTAAAAACTGTTAGATCCCTAAAGCTAGCCACCAAGGTCTATTCCCTCATTTGGTCACTGCTTCCTCCTGAGGATGATGACCAAGGTCCAGCTATCGCAGTATTAAAGTCCAGCTATCAAAAGCCCCCTTTGGCTCACCCAGTTAACTGCCCAATTAAAATTAAACACCCATCCTAACATGGGTGTTTCTACCCCATGGCTGGCCTCTTCTACCTTTATAAACTGACATTTGCCCATGTGCCATGTCTGTCTCCCCTCAATCCAGAGGCAGCCCTTTGTCCCTCTGGACTGTTTCCCCTTACCCTTCTCCCTCACCCCCTATCTCCTTTACCACCTCATCCTAGCCCACTGGAACACAGACCTCCCCTTTTTCTCCTCTTAAAAATGACACCTGCGGCCAGGTGGTGGTGGTTCACGCCTTTAATCCCAGCACTCAGGAGGCAGAGGCAGGCGGATCTCTGTGAGTTCGAGGCCAACCTGGTCTGCAGAGTGAGTTCCAGGACAGGCTCCAAAGCCACACAGAGAAACCCTGTCTTGAAAAACAAAACAAACAAACCAACAAAAAAATGACACCTTCAAGGCCATTTTCTGATCTCTGCCTGAGTCAGAAAGCAGCCGCTTTAACTTTCTCCCCCGTTAATGAAGGATCTCTGTAAAAACAGGTGCTTGGGTAAGATTTGTGCCTAACCTGGCATCGGTGAGGGGTCCCCTGCTGTTTGGGGTGTCCCCTTCAACAGTCCTGAGACACATCTTTCTCACGAAGACTGGATGATCTTAGCAGGTATCTAATGGTACCCTGAATTCTTCCCCATGCCCAGCAATAAGCAGGAGTCCTCACCCTCAGGCACGGGGAAGGCTGGATGGAGACTCTGGATTGACAGCCCCGTGGGTGTGATGAGGCAGTGTCTTGCTGCTGTGCACTGTGAATATGTAATTCTCTCATTGGTTAATGAAAAGCTGACAGGCCAGTAGCCAGGCAGGAAGTCAGGCAGGAAAGCAAAACTGATGGGAAGGAGGAGGGTGGAGTCGGAGAGATGTAAGAGTTAGCTTACATGTAATAGCAAGCCTGAGCTATTGGCCAAGCATTCATAAATAATACTAAGTCTCTGTGTACTGATTTGGAAGCGGCCTACGTGTTGCTTCTTCGGAGATGGGGGTGGGGGCAGACTGCCAATAAGACAG